CAAGTTAAGCAACGTCAAACCTGGTCATTATCTAGATGGTTGACCCCTTGAGTATACCGGGAGTTAAAAGTTTAGATGTGCGGGTGGTGTAATGGATACTGGCTTGGAATTGTTAATCGGATAGCCGAGTTCCAATTGCAATCGGGTTCGTTATATTCACTTACGCGCAAATACACTTGCTAAAAGTATGAATCCACCTATTCCCCTCACCTATGGGTTAATTAGTAAGACTAATATTATCTAAAAAAAAAACTTCATATAATCTAAAAATATTTTCTGTGTTTAAGTACCTTGCAAAAGGTTGATAAGCCGTAGAAAAAGAATCAATTAAATACTGATTACCTACACAGGCATGTTTTTTCGTTTTCTTTACATTCTCAGGAAGATAAATGTATAAAAATACTATGGTCACAAAATGAGGGATCAGTTTATATTTAGGTTGTAATATAGAATTGATCCCCCATTTTAAATCCACATTATGATTTCTTGTTTACTTATCAAACTCTGACTATGTATGAATCCACCTACTCGCCTCCAGCTAGGGGTTAATTAGTAAGAGTTGTATCACTAAAACAGTATTATAAAATAGAAAACAAAAATAAAACACGATTACTATTTAAACATAGTTTCTGGCTTTAAATAACCTGCAAAGATTTGATAAGTCGTAGAACACAAATCAGTCGATCAAAACTCTCAATGTATTCGCGAATTAGACTGAGAGGTGAGATTACTGTCTCTCTCTCCTGGTACGGTTGGTGCTCAGAGTTGCAGATTATATACTTCTTTACTAGGATTGTCTTAGTTTAAATATAAAGCCATGTTGTTGGTGCATTTCGTAAAGGTCTTCTTGGTAGCTGTCGATTTTGACCAGGAATCAGAACTCACAATCTTCACGAATTGGCCTCCTAGGTAAGCTACCTATCACATTAAAATTCATAGGCGTTGTCTCCCGCTGACTGTTTATCCAGCATTACAGCAATTTTATCTCAGAATGAAGAGAATTTGAACTGAATCTGAATTAATTGAGGATGCTTGCGCTACATAATGTGAACAATATTTGCATATAGAAGATGGTCTGTTCTAGATAATGTGTGTTTTTTTTTTTAGTATAATGTCGTAAATATATATTTTAGGGCGAAACATAATACACACACACACACAGATATATATATATATATATATTATAATTATTTTTAAAAAAATATGATTCCTTCGCTACATAAGAGTTCTCATGTTTCAAAAACGAGAGCCGAAGGTATCAATATAATTATTAAGATTAAATTGAATTAAAGTATCAAGTCCTGTTTCATCCTCAAGCGAAAATTTAGGATGAGTGTATGATAGCGGGCTTGATACTCTAATTCACTTTAATTTTAATAATTATATTGAGGGTTTCGTATAAGAGTGTTTCATTAAGACGGATTATATATAAGGGTGTTTCATTAAGACGGATCAAAGTCAGCAGTAAATAAATCAGTGTTGAAAATTTATTTATTCCTCTATTGCATCATGTTATTTAAGTCATGGCAATTATGGGTAAAAAATAATATCACCCAAATGTCCACCAAATCTAAAAGAAAAAGAAAAAAAAATCATTAGACGCTTAAACTTAATTCACATTTAAAATCGGTCCAAGTTATTGCAACATCCAAGGGTGTTTCATTTAGACGGATTATATATAAGGGTGTTTCATTAAGATGGATTATATATAAAGGTGTTTCATTAAGACGGATCAAAGTCAGTAGTAAATAAATCAATGTTATTGGTGAAAATTTATTTATTTCTCTATTGGATCGTGTTATTTAAGTCATGGCAATTATGTGAGAAAAATAATATCGCCCAAATATCAGCTAAATCTGAAAGTAAAAGCCAAAGAAAACTTACATCCATCTCCTCTCCTTTCTTTTTTACTCTTTTCTTTTTTAACATTTTTCGCGTAATAAGAGGGCGTGTCTACTCACCAGTTATTTACTAACGTCTGAGGAGATGCGTTGATTCGCACCGAAACACGACTGCAATTGTGTAGCGTTTTTCGACATGATTTTCATGTAATATCCTAGAATAAAGAATATTGCTCTATTTGTATTGATCCCTCTTTTAAATTGAATGTTACGAACGTTGGAATTGTAGTCTATTCGTTCTCATTTTCCATGAATATATATATATATATATATGTTTCATCGTTTGTAATTAGAATGTATTTGACTGTGGTATAGTAGTTTTAAATGTTCGGGTTTATTTGATGAAGTATTATGTTCTTTTTCATTTATGTTAATATTTCTAATAGCTTGTTCAATTTGTTCATCAACAATGTAACTAGGAATGTCATTATTAATGAGAGTTTAATTATTTTTAATTCAGTATAGAAAATCTTTTTCTTTGAAGAATTAGCTTTTGCACTGTTTATTAAATTTCGTATAATAGCTATTTTGTAATAGGATATTCACTTTTGTAATTTAGAGTGCAAGCGTTTCTGATTGTTGTTTTATTTTATATGGTGCAGTAGTAAATGTATTCTTATTAGTGTCTATGAATAAATCAACATGCTTGAACGAAGATATATTTGCCTAAATGTGTATATATATATATATATATATATATATATATATATATATATATATATGAGAGAGAGAGAGAGAGAGACAGACAGACAGACAGACAGACAGAGAGAGAAAGAGAGAGAGATAAAGACAAAAGGAAAGCAAATTCTATAACAGCGCGTTTCGTTCTCTGATGGATTATATCAAGGAAAATTTATCATACTTGCCTGGATAAAGTTCATCAAAGGACGAAACGTACCGATAAAGAATTTGTTTTTTTTTGTTTTGAAGTTAATATCCTATTACAAAATAGTTATTATACGAAATTTAATAAACAATGCAAAAGATAATTCTTCAAAAGAAAAAGATTTTCTACAGTGAATTAAAAAAATTAAACTCATTAATAATAATAATAATAATTATATATATATATATATATGCGTCTGTGTGTGTGTGTGTATGTATGTATTAAACAACAAACTACAAAATGACCTCATATGGGGGATAGATCGAGATGACCGATGCGAAGTACATTGGTCTTACTCAACCCCGATGTATACACTGTGTTCTTGTCGACATTAAAAATTTAACTTTAGTAGTCGAAAAATTGATTCAGAATTTATCCATTTCGATGTTTCAGTCAGACCGAGACAGTTGTAAGGGGACGTTGGAAGTTATTAGCCTGAAAAGAAAGAATTACAATGAACGGATCTCCCCTCGTGCGTTGAAAGACTATTGAGCCTCAAACTAACACATGACCTCATGTGCAACTCGTACATAGGATCCATCGCTAAAGATATTGAGTAATGGTGAGAGGAAAAGATCGTTCAGTCTTTCAGTAATAGTACCAATATTCACACACTGTCTTCTAAAGAACCATCAGAGAACGGTGAATAAATTTTAAAAAAAAGAAAAGGATCAGTAGAGAGGAAAACTAGATCAGGAGGTCAAAACACCAAGAGAGATCATCATTTCGTCTTAGAGCTAAATACATGCTTCTTGTTAAAAGTAGAGTCCGATAGTGTTAATAAAACCACGGAGAATAACAGTAAGATAACTTTAATCCTTTCTAAGATACAACGGTTCAAAACTTAATCTAACAATTGGACAATTTTGCTGTTACACACGGTATATATATATATATATATATATATATATATATATATATATATATATATATATATATATATATATATATAAAAGAAATATGTTGTAGTGGTTCCAACGAGAGAAAAGTATGTATATTAAAAAGAAGAGAAGAGAGGTGCCGCAAACGTTTTTGGTTGTAATGTGGATTTATTTCGAAAAAATATTATGCTTTGTTTTACATAATTTTATGACAAGTGTTTCTGGTCTCGCGACCGTCTTCAGGTAAAAGCGGAGATTTCCACATATTATTAAAAATAATTAATTTTTTCCTTATGTTCAATGTTCTCGATATGAGACATTCTCTGTTTGTGTGTTGGTAATCCGAATTTCTTTCTTGAATTGGCAATGAAGAGTTCTTCGCTGGACCAACCTTAATTGTTTTATGACCCTTGTATATCATTCATATATATATATATATATATATATATATATATATATATATATATATATATATATATATATTCTTATTATTCACCTATTCTTATTGTACATTTCTCTTTTAATTTTGAATCTCCCGTGGAAGCCTGATGAGCGGAAGCGTAACCGGTTGCTTCCCCCCCTTGTTTTTTTTTTTTATTATTTAATATTGTTTTTATATGTCTTGTAATATTAAATTTTACACTTTTATTTCGATCATTAAATTTTGTACCTACAAAAATATCTTTAAATATATATATATATATGAATGATATACAGCCATATAGACTTAGATAAGTAACAAACGTAGATAGATAGATAGATAGATAGATAGATAGATAGATAGATAGATAGATAGATAGATAGATACTAGTGTTAGAGAGAGGGGGTAAAACCGTATGTGTTTGTTTAAAAAAAGATCGTGTCAAAAGTCTGTAGCCCAATATGTATTCGTCAGTTTAATTTTGATGTAAATTTCCATTGTGTTGTATTCTGACTTTCAGATTAATATAGCCTACGGAATTAAGTGCACTGACAAGGAAGACGGTTATATATTAACACATAAATATTTCTTGTATAAAATGTCTGCGTTAAGCCGCGGACTTACTGAAATACCGACGGAGACACGATAACTGCTTTTACATGTCACTGCACATGCGCAGTTGCGTCTGTCCGCTTACGAATATGCCTTCTATAAATGTGTATACACACACGCGCGTGTGTCTGTTTCTGTGGTTGATGAGCACTTACTATTTCGCGCGCTAAGTTCCTGTTGGCCAAAATGTATTTTGTTGATCTGTCACTTTTAGTCGCCCTATTATCTCTCAGCCATTTTCACTGGCGCCATTCTTGCACTTAGTTATAAATCTTTGCTCTCCCCAATGCCGCCGGGTAATGAGAACTAGGCGGGGTTTTCTTTTGTCTTCCGTTTTGTTTAATGTCTTCTTCGTACGTTGTTTTACCAACGCTTTCGGACATTTTGGATATTTTTACTCTCTTTCCTCCGCCTTCTCACTCTCACGACACAACTTCCTCTCCCCCTCTCTCTCTCTCTCTCTTATATTTGTCTTTCTTTCTTTCATCTTGCATGTATCTCCTTCGTCTTACTTTCATTCTTTCTGTACTTTGAAAATTTTTTTCCTACAATTATTTCATTTTGACATTTTTAAACCTTTTTGTTCCTTTTCTTTATTTCTCTTTTCTTTTCTGTTTCTTCTTACCGACATTTTAACTTATTCTTTTCTTTTTCTCTCCTTTATTCTCTTTTTTATTCCGATTTTTTCTTCGACATTTCCTTCTTTCAATTGTTTTACTTGCTTTCTTATCGACAAAGATATCCTTTCTTTCTTTCCTTTCTTTTCAACCCTCTTTCTTTCTTTTTATCATATTTCTCTTTCATTTTCTTTCTTTTCTTTTTTCTTTTTATCTTTTCATCGTACCACTTGCTTGTTTATTTATTATTTTCATCGTATTTCTCGCTACTTCTTTGTTTCTTTTCGTTGTCTTCTTCCTTTTTTCTGCCGTATTTCAATCTCATTTCATTTTGTCGTATGTCGCCTTTCTTTCTTTTGACGTTTAATCTATTCTTTCTTTCTTTCTTTCTTTTCTCTGTTTCTCTCTTCTTTCTTTCTTTCTTTCTTTCTTTCCTTTCACCCTATTTATCACTTCTTTTTTCTGATCATGGTATCTCCACTTTCTTTCTTTCTTTCTTTCTTTCACCCTATTTATTGTTCCTTTATTTCTGTTTCTCGTATTTATACTTTTTCTCTTTCTTTTTTCTTTCTTTCTTTCTTTCTTTCTTTCTTTCTTTCTTTCTTTCTTTCTTCCTTTCTTGTTTTCACACTATTTATTGTTCCTTTATTTTTATTCCTCGTATCTCTGCATTGTTTGTTTGTTTGTTTGTCTCTTTCTTTCTTTCCTTTTCCACCCGATTTATTGTTTCTTTTTTTCTGTTCCTCGTATCTCCGCTTTCAACTTTCTTCTTTCTTTTTTTCTTTCTTTCTTTTTTCTTTCTTTCTTTTTTTCTTTCTTTCTTTCTTTCTTAATTTTTTTCTACCCTATTTATCGTTTCTTTTTTTTCTGTTCCCACGTATCTCCGCTTTCAACTCTCTTCTGTCTGTCTGTCTTTCTTTCTTTCTTTCTTTCTTTCTTTCTTTCTTCCCCCCCCCCACCTATTTATCGTTTCTTCAGCTCTGATCCTCGTATCTCCGCTTTCTCTTTTTCTTTCTTTCACATTTCTCTTTTTTTCCATCAAAAAACACACTTTCATTTGAATTCACTTGTCCACTCACAGCATTTATTATACAAACATTAATTCATTGGTCGATATTTACAATGTGTAAGTTGGTCGGTCACAGTTCAAAAAGTCAGATTGTTTGCCGCAATTAACTTTCATGTCATAAGGAGATTTTGCCTTAAAATACATCCCTACTCAAGCATAACTTCTGACTCAATTTTCTTGTAGCTATGGATATATCACGTGTCTCTTCAGGACAGGAGTGACCAGGGTTCTTCACAACTTCCCACTCTTTGTATCTATAAGTCGTGTTTACCTTTGTACTCTCCCTTCCAATCACTGTTCTGCAGTTCATTGATACGTACATCCTAATGGCACTAATCGCCCTCACCCGGGATAATGAGGTCTGTGCCTTGTTTAATAATGTTTAGAAACAAATACTCAGCGTTGGTCAATAAAGAAACTTTATGTCCACCCAAGATCTGGCGAATTCATTTAATCTTCGCCAAGCGAAGGTGAATTCAAACAAATTTCAGTCTATTTCGGGCTATAAAAACATGTCATGGCTAAATTCACTATTTCGCCAGCTCAACGTACAGACGAGCGCAAAGAAAAAATATCTGGAAAAAGTAATTTCATGGAGGAAAATAAATCTTTTAGCAAAACAAGATGAAGTTATTTGTTTCTATTTCCTTTACAGGACATGGAAAAATATTCAAATTGCGGGAATTATATCAGAAAACTTTTATTTTTTGTCTTCAGAAAAAGGTATGAGCTTTCGGATGTATCGAAATCAGAGAACGTTTGCTAATCCTTCTTAAGTATAAATATTGTAAATAATCCCGTCTTAGTATTGTTGCTTTTTATCCAAACACTTTGAACCGAGATAATTTTAATTATTACTATTTTTTTATTATAATTTTTCCAGATTCCTCTTGTTACTTTATAATCCCCAAACTTTGGCTCAATAAACACTTTATTATTACTATTATTTTATTACTATATTTATTCCATCTTATTATTGTTGATTTTATCCCAACACTCTGGCTCTATACACTCTTCATTATTACTATTATTTTATTACTAGATTTATTCCATCTTATTATTGTTGCTTTTTATCCCAACACTCTGGCTCTATACACTCTTCCTTATTACTATTATTTTATTACTAGTTTTATTCCATCTTATTATTGTTGCTTTTTATCCCAACACTCTGGCTCTATACACTCTTCATTATTACTATTATTTTATTACTAGTTTTATTCTATCTTATTATTGTTGATTTTATCCCAACACTCTGGCTCTATACACTCTTCATTATTAGTATTATTTTATTACTAGATTTATTCCATCTTATTGTTGTTGCTTTTTATCCCAACACTCTGGCTCTATACACTCTTCATTATTACTATTATTTTATTACTAGTTTTATTTAATCTTATTATTGTTGCTTTTTATCCCAACACTCTGGCTCTATACACTCTTCATTATTACTATTATTTTATTACTAGTTTTATTCTATCTTATTATTGTTGCTTTTTATCCCAACCCTCTGGCTCTATACACTCTTCCTTATTACTATTATTTTATGACTAGTTTGATTCCATCTTATTATTATTAATATAAATTACAATACTCTCCTCTATAAAATAATTGTGAATTTCCAGCAATTATTATTATTGCTTTTTTATATTTTTATTAGTATTTCTCAGCAAACGACGACGTTTTCAGTTAAAGGTTCTGGTTACATTCTTTCGTTAATGGAATAAAATTTATAGAATACGAATTGGACTTCTGATGAATAATTAAATTTGCTGCGTCAAAGCAGATAAAAATAAAAATAAAAACGCTAAGTTTTGTCTAAATGGACAGCGTATACAACTCATTTTATCACTATAAAAAGCAAATAAAAAGTTTTTATGAATGTTTTTGTCAATGTGTGCGTCACATGCAAATAAACGATACACAAGTTTTATTTGATTACTGCGGCGTACAAGTCGAGATTTCCAGCGTAAAAATATTTCCAAATCGACTTATATGGCGGGTTTATACCCGCCATATAAGTCGAGTCTTTACCACTCAGTTGTAAACAACTGTGACAGCACTCTTAATTACTGTCTATCACTTAGCCTAACTCCAGCAGGCTGCCACAAAAATATCCCCCTACAACATGTGTTTGGTGAACATATTTGGCATTCTAAAACAGAAATTAATATTAAATAATAAACTAGTAACACAAATTCAATATTCTATTAACGCTACAGCACACATCGCGTCCAACTGCTGATACACTAAGTGTAAACACTGACCGAGGCGCCGTTTAACTCAGGCGGCCATTCAGACAACTAAGTTTGGTATAAGTGTCATCTGCACAATTTCATGATAGGAATGACAGTTATAATTTATAGGAGTTGATGTTGCCTTTAATGTGTTTATCATTAGGCCTGGCGAATATTTAAATGTTCGCTACGATATACCAATACAATATACGGTACCTATCGGTGTGAGTTGTAGCTTGTTGACTATACAAAAGTATTAGGGTTAGTGTCTTAATATACAGGTAAATAATTTGACCCTATGTTGTTTAGGCACAGGTTATCTTATACCGTAACCTACCTTCATTTGCCAGTAGGGATAAGTTTTGGGCCGCTGACAGCCTACAGTATGTTTTGGGCTCGACCTATACAGTAGGTACAGGCCTAACTCAAAATTTTGAGCTAAAAATCTTGAGGTCAACTGCCACCACCTAGGAAAACATTGATCATCTTCGCCACATGCTGATGGATGACAGGGGATTGACTATAAATCAAATAGCCAATGTTATCCCGTGTGAGAGTTGAGAATATTCTGCGCAATGAACTTGGCATGATGAAGGTTTTTGCCAGTTGGGTGCCACGTCTTCTGACGCCTGGTCAAAAGCGCACCAGTTTGATCACATCTCGGCAAATTCTGACATTGTTTGAGGCAGATCCTGCTGCGTATGTCGATTCGGGTAACATACAAGAAATGTATAGCTGATCCGCCATTTTGTTTTATGCTTGGGGGTCAAACTACACGGTAGATATAGGCATAACTCAGACTTTGGAGTTAAAAATCTTGTGGTCGACTTGTATGCCAGGCCCACTTGTACGCCCCAAGTTACGCTAATGAATTTCAGCTTTTTGATTTTTCATTATACTGTAGCCAACGCTAGGCAACAGTTTTGGGCCACTAGTAGCTTGCTCTATATTTAAAGAACCATCTATATGGTAGGTATAAGCCTAACCCAGAATGTTTAGCTAAAAATCAAAATGTCGACTTATACACCAGGTCGACTTGTACACTAAGTCGACTCTTACGCTGTAATTTACGATACTCAATTTAATTGTCCTATAGTTATGTTATAAATGTATTTACATAGAATAACAAAATGGTAAGATAAATACGGCAGATTTTTTCAATATATATATATATATATATATATATATATATATATATATATTAATCGGATTTACCTTAAGCAAGGCAATAAAACCACTAAGACACAGGGGTGCTTACTGGTGTGACAGAATTAGAAAACAGAAACGTTATTAAGGAGCGAGATGAATATAAGAGTAATCAGGAAGACATTTGACACTGCATTTGAATTTTTGAAGATTAAAGTTGACTGGAAAGCATCGAATCAGAAGAGAGTTCCACAAGCAAGCAGTGCGAGAAAGGAAACTATTAACAAATAACTTACGGCTACATCTAGACAATTCAACAGTACATAGATGAGACCTTGTTGCCAGTCTAGTACTGCGTTTAAATTGCTAAAGTCTAGGTACCATAGCGAAGAGTTCATCCGAACATGAAAGTATGTATAGAAAAGGCAAAGGGAAGCAACTTTACGGCGGCGGGAATCCGAGACGCCAGATCAGGACCAATAATATTGCTGATTCTTCTTTGGATATTATCAAGAATCTCTAAATATATAGCAAGAGCTTTAAAATTCGTGGTTGCTATATTTTAAGCATGGACGAATTGTAGACATGTGTTAAGGTGTCGACCTTGTACACCGCAATTTACGTTGTTTTGGTTTACGGATTTCAATAAAAGATGGAATTTCCTGCAATACTATAAACGCTCGCTTTTATTCGATGAGAGTATTTTTATATTTATTTTAAATTCAGTGCATTTGCTTTTCATCAACATTCTTCCTGATTTACTGCTATAATTGTTAAATCAACATCCACTTGATTTTTAAACGGATTTTATAACGAAGTGATAATCTAAGAAAATGTATCGTTCACAATATTTTAAGTAACAAATTATGTTGGGTCACACGACATATCAACCAGTTTCATTGCATTGCATC